AGCAGCCGGGCTTGCAGCAGCCCTGGGAGCAGCAGCCCTTCTCCGGGTCCTGTGGGGATGGGGAAGGGGGAGATTTGAGGTGGGGGGCGAGGAAATGGGAGATGCAGGTGGGATAGGGATGCTGGTGGGATGAGGATGCATTTGTCCCCAGGGGCGCAGCATCCCATGGGGTTTTCCTCCATCACTGGTGCCTGACTGGGATAAACTGGGCAAAGCCTTGTGCTGAGCATCTCTGCTGGGCACAGGGACACCCCCAGTGTGACCGTGTCACCTTGCCACGGATCACAGGGACTCACCTCTTCCACCACTACCTGCTTCATGGAGCTCTCCATGGCTGCCTCCTCCTCCTCCTCCTCATCCCACAGCAGCCGGCTCAGAGGGCTTTATACTGGGGCACAGGGGTGGGGAATGGGGCGTCCCCTGTGAACGAGCTCATGGTCCTGGTGTACACCCAGGTTTTGGGGTGCAATCCACTTCACTGCTGTTTGCTGACCACCACCCCCAGGGCTGGGAACCCACTGGTCGAGAGGCTTCGAGGACACTTGTCCCCGAGCACAGGGACCTCTCTGCTGCCCAGAAGCGCAGTGTCAGGGCCAAAGCAAACCCTCCTGTGCGGGTTCAAGCCGCCCTCCAGGCTGGAGCATCCGGCGATGGCTGTGACCAAGGAGGGACCTGGCCCAGGGCCCGTGTCCCTGCGTCAGCTCGGGCACCTGGAGCTGCTCGGGGTGGGCAAAGTACAGAAACATCAAAGCTTTCCCAGAGCTGCAAGGTTGGGGTCACCCTGGGGTGGGAACACATCCCTGGGTCGCAGCTGGGCTGGGTGCTCCGCAGCCCAGGTCCTGAGGGTGCTGGTGTTGCCGGTGCTGGGGTTTTTAGGTGTGGATCTGCTCGGGGTGGGGGTGTCCCAGCTCCGGTGTGGTGCAATCAGGGCAGGATGACAATGCAGTTCCTGGACGTGACCCCCTTCTGTGGTTTGACCCCCCCCGGCCATCCCTGGCCCCCCTTCTCAGTCCCTGGGACCCCAAATACTTGTGGGGGTGAGGCTGTGCACCTCATGTTGCATCCTCACGTGGCTCTGGGCTGTTTGCTCCCCAACATTGAGTGCAGGAGCCCTTATCACACACCCTGCTCTTTGCTGAGGTGACACAGGGACGGGGCCAGGCTGAGGATTTTGGGGAACGGAGCTGCCAGCCCCATGTCCACACATGGAAATGCCCAATTTCCCTCCTGTTCCCAGCAAAGCGTCACCTTCTGGGGGCTGGGACCCTCCAAGGACACCCCTGAGAGGTGAAACCATGCTGTGGTTTTGGGGTGGGCTTGGCTTGGGTCCTCCCAGGGTCTCTTTCCAACCCCCCAGCCCCATTGAGCCCCCATTCTCTGGTGGATGTGCACCCCAAGGATGCTCTGGGGCAGAGGAGCTGGGCCTGGGGGGAGAGGGGACATTTTGGGGGGTGCAGGGGAACCAGGAGCAAGTGGATCACAGTGTCCGTGGATGTCCTGCTTGGTGCTCCCTGGGGATGTGGCAGAGAGACCCCTGTCCCCATCTGCACAAGGAGGGGACAGTGATGGGGACATTTCCCAGAGGGATGACCCAAACCCCACAATGTGGGGGGCTGCTCTTGACCTGAGGAGGGGGTGTCTGAGCCCCCTGCACTCCTCGCCCAGGGCTGAACCGAGCACACCCACACCAAGGATGCATCTACCAAGGCTGGACCCCACAGGGGCACCCATGGGTGCTCAGCACTGAGGAAAGGGCCGGTGTAGGGGGAAGGATGAGAACAGTGCTGGGAGGTGTGGGCACATCCTTTACTTTGAGACAGAAACATGAATCCCGAAGCAAATCCCACTGGTTTATTGGGAAAATAAACCCATTTATTGGCGCCAAGCGGCTGCAGATGGAGCACCCCAGCAGCAGGGTGAGGGATGGGGCTGGGGAGGACGAGAGATGCCCAAGCATCCTGGGAGGAGCGTGGGGACGGGGACACCCCCATGTCGCTGCCCTGTCCCCCGCAGATGCTATGCCCAGTAGATGGGGACGGTGCTGCAGAGGATGTTAATGGTGGTGCCCAGGATGGAGCGGTCAGCCAGGGCCATGGCGTTGTCCTTGCCCTCCTTCACCTCAGCCTGCAGGAGAGATGATGGAGAAGGGCCTACCATCCTTAGCCACCGGTGGCCACTTGCCACAAGCCCCGTGGATGCTCAGGATGCTGGGGTTGGCCAGCAAACGAGTGGGGTGGCCAGCACTCACCTGCCTGTGCTGGAAAGTCTCGGTGATGGTGTCCAGCCCTGGGATGTTGTCCTGGTCCACACGGGTGACGTAGCAGGCACGGTGACGCCAGGACCTGTAGCCGACCAGCAACTGTTGGCAGAGACGGGGGTCAGCTCAGCCCCATCCCCATCACCCCCTGTCTCCCCGTTTGCCCCCATACCTTGCCATAGTCGTACACCACCACAGCGGTGGCGTTGAGCCCGTCCTGCATGGCGAACGTCCCGGTCCTTTCCTTCTTGCTCATGGAGAGGTGCTGGGGGTTCCCTTCACCATCCAGGCCGTGTATGGTCATTCGCAAGACCTGTTGGGTGGAGGATGATGGGGTCAGGGAGCTTTCTGGGAGCTGAACCCCATCCCGGTGCTGTTCCTCACCGTTTCAGCGTGCATCTCGGTGATGCGCAGCCCCAGGAGGAGG